CCCCAAAACCCCAAAACCCCAAAACCCCAAATAAGAGAATAAACATTGACAAAAGTTTATTTATGCAAAATAAAATTTAGTCTAGGATTTTACTTCTGTATTCGCAATATTATTAGAGGAAATATTGGCCAAACTACATAGAGCCAATAGAGCATTCAAAGCCAGTATTGCTTATCTCAAAGCATGCCCGAGAGAGGAATTAATTCTGTAGTTAGTTACCGGAAGCACAGAAAGAATTGAAGACTGTATTTGTGAGAAAGTACCGCTTTCTCGATCCCCTGATTGTGTTTGAAAAAGTACTGGGATCATTTGAGAATCCATTTCTATTATCAAAAGTGTCATTTCTTGATCTTCCACTTTTTTAAGCATCAATTATGGGTGTTTTAGACTTACTTATTAGAGCTGAGTCAATTTTAGATAACATTAAAGATACTTCAAGTTCTTTTTGACAAGTTTTATTTAAGGCAGGTTGTTTCTTGGGAGAAACCTTGAGTGGTTTCTTATTGAGTCTCTGAAAATAATTTGATTTACTCTCTTCATGAACTTGTTTCTCTTCCTTTCAAAAGAGAGCATCCTTGTTTGAAAATATCGGTGGTGAGTTAATGGTTGCATTTCGACTTCCTAAAAGGTTCTCATAATCTTCTTCCCATATATTTTCAGTTGGGTTTGCTAAAGAGCTATCTTCTGGAAGATTTGCATCTTCGCTTGTTTCTACCTCAGCACTAAACTCTTCAATTATCTCTTTGTAAGGCGCAAGGGTAGCTTCAGAAGAAATAGGAGCTAGACTAAACTCTTGGAGAGCATATAGTTCTCAATTGTGCTTTGCCACTTAGGGTGTTCTGCATCTTAGCAAACATCACTGCGTTAGTGTCAGTAATTTCAAACCCTCAAGTAGGAATTTCAAAGAAAGAACTTTGATTCAAATCCATACTCACAGACAGATTGACTCTCTCGGAGTCATCATCTTCTTCAAGGAATGGGTGATTTAGGATATCACAATGAGAAATTCTTTTTATCGGATCAAGCTGGAGGCATTTACTCAGGAAGTCAATACATGAGAGAGACAAATTGATATCCTGAGGGACTCCGTATTCTCCTTTATTTACTTTCCTTGTCAACTCGCTCATGCGTCTGCCTACGAATGGAGTAAAGCCAACAAGCAATTCATATACCATGATGCCAAGAGACCATATATCTATTTTTGAGGTATACGGATTCTTGTTCAAAATCTCAGGAGCCATGTTAACCGGAGTGCCTAACCAAGATGTAGCAATCTCTGTATCATTCAATGACTTAGCAAAGCCTAAGTCTCCTATTATGATTTCCATCTCATCATTTTTTTAGTTAAACTCTTTATTATATTCTGCAGGAGTCACTTCAGACGAAGACATTTGTGGGAAATTTACCATAATATTTGGGAGCTTCAGATCTCTGTGCATAATTTTATTTTGGTTAAGGTATAAGAGGCCTGAAGCAATCTGCTTCACAATTTTTCTAACAAGATCTTGACTAAGTCTTCCTCCTTTAAGGTCAAGAAATCTGGAGAGATCTCCTCCATTACAGAACTCTACAAACATGTAAATGTTGTCCTTTGTCTTGAGAGCAGTATAAAACCTAAGAATATTTGGATGATTAATTGCTTTCATAATTTTTATCTCTTGTAGTAAATATTCTTGACATTCTGAGTTTAATTTTTGTAAATTGATCATCTTACAAGCAATACCACCATCTTTCCTCATTTTCTCTTTGAATCTTGAGTCTAAGTCTTGCTCCTGAATAATTTAACAAAGAGAAACAGTTCCATAGGTACCCCAGCCTAATTTTTCGATAAGTCTAAAATTTCCAATTGTCTTCATTTAAATAATTTAGTCAAAACTTTTAAGATATTTCTCTCTAATTTACCTACAACTAAAACTACCAAAAATAAACACTATATCTCAACCCCAACTTCATTCTCTGGGGTTTTGGGGTTTTGGGGTTTTGGGG